GCTGGGGGATTGAACCACGGTCCCTGATGCTTTTGCTAAGCTTGTTCTAAGTAGGTGCTTTAGACCACTGAGCCATCTCTCCAGCCCTGAATTTAATACTAATGTACATTGTTTTACGTGTTGCTGAATCATTTTATTAATCATTTTGGAAGGATTTTTTGTGCCTATATTCATGAGGAATATCTCCTGGAATGAGTTGTAAAGTGTTTCTTCCTCTGCTATATTTTGGAAGCCTTTGCAAATGATTGATGGCAATTTGCAAATATTTCGTAGCATTTATCAGTTGTAGTTGAACTTTACTTTGTGAGATTTTGTTAAATAATAGGTTTGAACCTGGGAGTGATATGCCTCTCAGTTACATTTTCAACCTGTTATTTACCTTTAAAAATTTTAGATAAGGTCTCATTAAATTTCCCAGTTTACTCAGAAGTCACGATACTCCTTCCTCAACCTTTGGACTAGCTAGGATTTTAGGTATGCACCAGAACGGCCCCATTTTTGAGATGTTTATGATTACTGATTCAATGTCATTTTGTATAGTTTTATTCAAATTTCCTAAAAAAAAGTCCCCTTAATTTTGATAGTTATCCTTCAAAGAATTTCTCTAGTTCATCTAAGTTATCCATTTTGGGGGGCATATAATTGTAACAGTATTTCTTCATAATCATTTCTATAACACATTTCTATTATATAGGATAATGGTACATATTATGACATTTTCATATAAGTATATAGCATACTTTAATCAGACTTCTCTATCATCTCCTTAATCTTCCTCTTCTTCTGATCACTTTCTGCTTCTTTAATAATTCCCTTGCTAATCCCATGTTGTCCTTTTTCCTTGCTAGATTCAATATATGAAAGAAAACTTGCCATGACTTTATTTATTTATTTATTTATTTATTTATTTATTTATTTATGCATTTTGTATTTAGTGCAGGGTCTACAGGGTCTCACTACACAGATCAGACTCCTCCCAAGCACTGGGAATACAGGCACACGTCACCATGCCCGGTCTCAATCGCTGTCTTAGTGTGCCCTGGTCCCTGTCATGATTGTTTTTCTGAAGAGGATGATTCTGCTTACCGTGATCATCACTTCCACTCATTTTCTACTTGGCCCAGCCCATAGTTCTTTGGTATTAGCCTATGGTAATTTTTAAGTATTGCATTGTGTTGTCTTCAAATTAATTGTATAGAATACAAGATACAAGCATCCAAAATTGGTAAAAAGAGTTATCAGTAATTTATTTATTTATGGAAATCATAGTTTCATTTATTTTCACAAGAGACAGGTTACGAGTGAGCACATGACATAAAAGCTCAGTCATCATCAAACTGCTAAGGACATGGCAAGAGGTCACGCAGGGAGGTATCTGTGCAAAGTCATCTTCTTAGCATCAGATGGTGGGAAAAATACTTCTTTAAATAGCCCTGTTTATGTTTAGGAAAATAGATTTGATAAACTGGACAAGTAGACATTTGCCCTTCTTTACAATCAAGGAACAGTAACAAAGAATAAACTGAGACTTTAAAAAACCCAAATAAAAGCCAACACCACTATCAAGAGTTTTCTTTTAATATGCCATGAGATATCTTGATTGTATATTTTCCAAAGTACTCCCAGCCACATCTCCTGCCTTTCCAAAGGAACCTCCAGTCTTTAAATGCAGTAAAAGATGCTGGCTCATAGTTCTACTCACCTCTTTTTTTGAAAGCAATATAATATTAGTGACTTAAATGGTAATACATTTTTATCTAATAAAGGAAAAACATTTACAAGTATCAGAAATTTAAATTTGAAACATCTGCATTAATTTTGAATAGAATCAGCATTCTGAGGGGGATTTTTTGGTTTGTTTGTCTTATTTTTTTGAAAGGCAGCAGTTCTGACTAACTTGCTGATAAACACATTTCTGCTGGGCACAGAGGAAGAAGGAGAGAGAGGGAGACAAATGCTCTATTTCTGCATTGGTCCCAAAAGTACTACACAAGAGTATACATCAGAGCAAACATGCAATGGTTGTTTTAAATCTTTTACTGCAATTTAATGAAGTAAACAGTAATTAGCCACTAATTTTCCCCAAAACAAAAAATGTAAACAAGAAAATAACTGCTTATACTTATACAGCTTCTCAAATCATATTAGAAGGGTCTCACACATTCAATGATCAAGAAATTTTAAAATAGCAATAATAACTTTTGATTTAATAAAAATTTCCCTTTCTTCCCACCTTCATCCCAAGTATTTAACATGAAAGATCAGGCCTCCTTACATATCACTTTTATACTTTTGTGAAGCAGCAACAATGATCACTGATAATTTGGTATTTCTGTTTACAGTTGCTCCAAACTCTTGAATTTCAAAAAGCCATTATCCAGTGTTGCCATGAAATATACTGTAGATTTTAGGTAGTAAGCATTTTTTCAGAAACCAATGTTAGGCCAAAGAAATATAAAGCAGGGCATTACACTAAATTTCTGGATCTAGTACACTAAGAGTGAAACCTAGGAAAAGTCACCTACTGTTTTATAGAAGAAATAAAGATCTGCAAAAGCTGATTTTTGGTTGTATATTTTATACACTGTGTGGATTTGCAGCATCTGCTAGTTGAAGATGCACTGTAATTTATCCCTGACTTGTATCCCAGATCCTACTCACCCCACCCCAACAATCTACTATCATATACCAAGTACTATGGATATGAACCCAGGTCATCCCAGATAATCCGGTGAACAAATTTAGTGTAATGCACGGGTGTGAAGTGTGATATACAAAAAAGTCCTTTTTAATCTTCATCAAAGTTTTGCTGTAGAAGAAAATTGGCAGCCAAATTCTCATTCTTCTCACAAGGAAAATGTGCTTGTATCACAAGTCCTTCAGGAAATCTTAATGCCTTTAACCTTTCTATAGCTTCCTTTTCTTGAGGCATTACTTGGATGTAGTTCATGTGCCCGCTTCCAGCTTCTGCAATTCCTCCACTGCCACCTCCATCACCTTCACCTTGAACACCAGCTTTCTGTACTGGTTCATTCAACATCTGAATAAAATGCTCCTAGTGTTGGCTAATTTGCTGCAGCTACTGAGTATTCTCTCAATCTATCTGCTGTAGCAATGCTGGAAGCAAGGAAGGATTCTGTTGGATAATTTGTCTCATCTGTTGAAACTGAGGCTGATTCCATAAAAACTCAAGGGGATGTCCTCCAGAACTTGTTGTCTTCATTGCTGCTGTTGTAGTTGCTGCAGCTGCAGCCACTGCAGTGGCCTGAGGTGCCCTAGTGCTAGCTGTGTGAGGAGGGTCAACCACAGCCTGACTTGCTTGCTCTATCTCCAGGGGTTCCCATTAAAAGATATTCCACTGCTTTGTTAGGGTTGTTGAAACTGGCTCTCAGGACTGCAATTAATTGCTCTCGCTCATAGCCCATAGACATGATATCAATCACCATATTCTCATAAGACTGACCTGTCACAAATGCACTTGTTGCATCTTCAAAAAGGTTTGACTGAGAAGAATCTCCTGATGTACTGTCAGTTGATGTAGGGCTACTAGCTGGTGGCATCTCTGCTGGCTTTTCTGCAGGCTTCTCATGCTGAGCTGCACTAGCAGGCACAGGTTCAGAAGATGCCATTGTCACTGCTGGAGTGATGGATGCAAGTGTGGATGTGGGAGCCAAAGGAGGGGCAGGGGTTGGTGCCTTAGCCACAGCTGTTGCTGTGTAGGAACTAACAGTGGTGGTGCTGGCAGGGCTCGATTGCTGCATTGTAACTCGTGCTGGTGTGGTCACTGCTTTGGGTTTTGTCACCATAACTACC